CATTTACTAATTTGTTATTGATCTTAGTTTCTTAGCTTTATATAATGGTTGGGAATAAGATAGTAGTCTAGAAATATGTATTAATGCTTCTTTTATCATTTTACAAAATATCTTTGCATATTTCCACATATTTCATAATATTTCCACAATGTCTCTAATTTTTACAATATTTTCCCTCGACATTTCCAACATATGTCCTATATTTTGGTAAGCGGCATTTCCATCGACATCGACATTTTAAACCTTGGCCAGGACTGGTATGCAAAATCGACATCGAGAAGGCTTACGACCATGTGGAGTGGGGATTCCTTAAGGAAATTCAGAGACAAATGGGCTTCAGGGGGAGAAGCTGTATATATGCATGTATTTCCTCCATATCTTTCTCATTACTTATTAATGGAATTTCCTCAGGATTCTTCAATGCATCTAGAGGACTCCGGCAAGGGGATCCCATCTCTCCACTTCTGTTTGTTATTGTAATGGAGGTGCTGAATTTGCTCCTAGTCAAAGCAGCTCAGTTAGGATGGATTGAAGGCTTTGATGGGCGGGGATAATAGTCCTTGCATCTCCCATCTACAGTATGCTGATGACACCCTCATATTTTTGGATGCCTCTGAGGAACAGGTGCTGAATCTGAGAGCTATTCTAGCAAATTTCGAGATGCTTACAGGTCTGAAAGTTAATCTAGGCAAGACTATGATAATTGGGGTAGGGGAGGTAAGGAAGGAGGAGCTGGACCATTTTGTTGCAGTTTTTTGAATGCCACAGGTGATCTACCTTTCATATATTTAGGACTTCCGGTACGATCCAGAACTAATGAAGCAGGGATTTTTTTTATCAGTAACAAGATGCTTTATTAAATAATAAAAATTGTGAAACTTGAAGTACAAGAAAGGGGAGGTAAAATATCTTAGCTCCCCCACAACAGAGAACAGCCATTGAATTAGCGCTTCTCTTCACCCAACTGTACTTCACCTCAAAATCCCTACTCAGACATTTAAATTTTTTCTTTTCATTTCTGTAGCTCCACAAACCATTGCTGTCTTCCTTCAGCCACCTAATCACCACCTCCGAGTCCCCTTCAATGACCAAGCATCAAATGCTTAGTGAAGCAGGAATTTGGAGGCCAGTGATTGAACGAGTAGAGAAAAGGCTAGAAAGATGGAAAGTCAAATACCTATCTCTGGGGGGCAGAATTACACTGGTGAGAAGTGTTCTCTCAAGTCTGCCAACTTATTATCTATCTCTTCTAAAGGTTCCAGCAAAGGTGGCAGAAAAATTTGAAAAGATTCAGAGGGACTTTATGTGGGAAGGAGTTGGTGGTGCAAGGAAGTTTATTTGGTGAAATGGGATAAGGTGTGTAGGCCAAAAAATCATGGTTGCTACGGTATCAGAAGAGTTAAAACTTTCAACGAGGCCTTGCTGGGAAAGTGGCTGTGGAGATTTGGGTTAGAAAAGGAGAGGGAGTCCCTTTGGAGAAGGGTTGTAGCAGGAAAATATGGGTTGGTGAGGTTTGGGTGGGAGTCAAGGGAGGTCTCCAGCTCTTACGAAGTGAGTGTTTGGAAGGGGATCATATTGTTCAATCAAGAGTTTAAAGATGGAGTCAGATTTAAGGTGGGAGATGGGGCAAGAATTAGATTCTGGGAAGATGAGTGGTGTGAAGTAGGGGGAAGCTGTTATGGACGCATTCCTCGGAAAGACGTACCATCGCCGCCGGCAGCAACAGGAACCTGACCCACCGCCAGATTAGATTAGATCATCTCGCTTGTTCTTATCTTATTCTATTGCTCTTATCTTATCTTGTTAGTAAGTTATCATATTAAGATTAGTTTATCTTATTATCAGATTAGGATTAGCTTATCTTATCCTTA